CAGATGTCAAACGTGTGAGATATTAGCTGAAGCCAAGCAGCTTCTCGTATATGAGCTGGGTTGCATGCAGATGAAAGATACGGCACAAGCTGTCATCCAGATGTGACATTTTCATGTCCCCCACTATATACAGCACTTATATATATATATATATATATATAAAATGACACAAGCACATAAAATTAGTAAAACTTAAAATAAATAATTTAATATAATTTAAAATATTAAATAATATTAATATTAAAATATGAACAAATACTACAATAGAATAGAAAAAAATACTAAAATACCACTTGAAAGACAAAGAGAGTTTATTTTCATTATTGTATTTATATGCACCAATTTAGCAACGTACAATTTTAGCAATACAGAAAAATAAAAACAATAATTACCTCTTTTTGTCCACAAAATAAACGCATGAAAGAATGCAAAATGCCATGCAGGGGCAACTTTCCAGTGTTATTTTAGTATTGTTTATATACTATTATAGTATTTATTCATATTTTTTTATTATCTTTATATTTAAATTTTTTTTTTGTTTAGTTTTACTAATTTTGTTATATGCTTTTGTCATTTTTATTCATTTTTTTTTAAATATGTGTTTACATTTAAGCTATCATTGTTATTATTCCAGTTTTGATCCAAATGTCTTGCTGCTCAGTCAGCGCAGAGAAACACAACTGCTTATTTTTCAAACGACAGAAATCTGAGCACTGGACAAATTGTGATGTCCACGGCTCTGATCCGTGCTGTGACCTTCAGGATGAGCGTGACCTGCTCCTCGTCTCTAAGAGCAACATCAGGAGAGATCAGATGTCAAACGTGTGAGATATTAGCTGAAGCCAAGCAGCTTCTCGTATATGAGCTGGGTTGCATGCAGATGAAAGATACGGCACAAGCTGTCATCCAGATGTGACATTTTCATGTCCCCCACTATATACAGCACTTTCAAGTGCTTGTGGTTTGGCTTATTTCGGGATGATTACAGTGTTGGTGTCTGCTCCGGCTGGATCGCAGAGGCTTTGAGATTTACACTCGTCAGGTGTACAGGATGGAAAATTATGACCTCCTCCTGAAAAAAAGCAGCACTGAAAGTCCAATTCACTTTACCAGTTGAGTTTGAATTTCCAATCTCATACATGCAAAAAATAATTGCATGATTCCAAAATACAGATTGATCATATTCCAGCATTTCCACCAAATATTGAAGCAGTGGGTCTTCATGAGGGTGAGTAAATGATGGCTGGGCTCCGGCTGGGGGTCTGGGGGGGCGTTATAATTAAACTGACGGGGTTGGGTTTCTGCTGAAATCAGTGCCAAATGTTTTCAGAGCAAAAGAGCCGAGTTTCGCACACATGACCCCGAAATTCCCCTCCATTTCATCCGGCTTGCTTTTAATTAACGTTATTAAATCATTTTCTGGAGTCAATTACGCTGTGCGGCGCATAATAGAGGCCAGATTCGGCGCAGTCTGCTTTAAAGAGTCAAATGAAGGAGTTGAAAGAAAAAGTGCCAGAGAGAGACAGAGAGAGAGATGGATATGAACGTCACTGTGGGCGCATACAATACTATAAAACAAATCAGTGGCAATTTTTCGCTTTAGCGCTGAGTGTTCGATTCATTTTAGTGAATCGATTCTTTCGAACGGTTCTTTTTTTTTTTTTAAGTTTTTTGAGTTTTTGAAGCTTTTTGCGTATTGTTTTCTTGAACTGACAACGTATATCGTGCCTTTTCATTCTCAAACAGAGTTGCAATCCAGCAGAGTAATAATTTAGGAATTAACCTTCGCGAATCCGAATCGTCGGCAACATTGAAAAGAAGTGGTTCAAAAGAACAATCGGTTCGCGAATCAGTGTGCACAGGTAAGATGTAATAACATGTCCAATAAGGGCATGCCCGGACCTTCCCCATCACCTAGCTCTCACAGGATTTCACGATTTAAACCCATGCATTTACACTTCTTAACTGTTAGTTAGGCTATATTGCAATCATTTAACATTTCTTTGCATGGCCAAAAAACAAACACAAAGATATAGTAGACTAAAATGCACACAAGTCTTCCTTATACAAACACGCATACTGATCAACAGGATATTTCATTAAATATTTAGCTTGTTAAAAACATTGTGTATGCAATGCAAGCATGCAAAGTACTATGCAAAAAAATAATAATAGTTTTTAATGTGCAATTAGTTTTGTACGCATTTTCTGCGGATAGAATAAATATACTGTTTTATTGTAAGACCTTTATAATGATTTGATCTGCTATAAAATGCAAGGCTCACCTTCCTATCCAGTTGCACTGGTCGCTGGAATATTGTGCACATCCACACAGGACCAGAGCTGATAGCAGAATGAATAAAAGCATCCTCAAAACCCCCGACAATCTCTTCCAGTCTGTAGAAAATCTCAATCCACGGCTGCTCTGGGTCACTTCAGAAACTGCATGACCAGATCAAGAGCAGACAGATCCGGAATGAAGAGCATGATCGCGCGTGAGTCTGAAGCCCACACAGTAGTGAGTCCCCGAGAAACTGTCTCCCTCATACAAACTCAAGCCCCGCCCACAACACGCCTCTAAGCCACGCCCCCGCCAGCAATACCCATTACACAGCAGCAAGCACTTATTTTACACACTTGCGCTGCTGCTCAAAACTTTGGCATCAGTAAGATTTTTTTTTTTTAAAGAAGTTTCTTATGCTTATCAATCGTGCATTTATCTGAAGAAAAAAAACGGTAATTTTGTGAAATATTATTGCAATTTAAAATGACATTTTTCTATTTTAAAGTGCTTTAAAATATAAATTATTGCTGTGATCAAAGCTGAATTTCCAGCATCATTACTCCATTCTTCAGTGCCACATGATTCTTCAGAAATCAGTATAATATGCCGATTTATAATCAGTGTTTGGAAACAGTTGTGCTGCTTGGGGCCTGTGATATTTTGTTTTCAGGATACTTTTTCAGGATGAATAAAAAGTTTAAAAGAGCAGTGTTTATTCAAAATAGACATTTTGTGTTATAATACATACCATTCAAAAGTGCAGGGTCAGTTATTTATCACAGGCTCCAAAACAAAAAACAAAAAAAAGATTTGATCACAGGACTAAATTATATTTTAAAGTTTATTAAAATAGGAAACCAATATTAGAAATTGCAATAATATTTTACAATATCCCTTTTTTTCTTTATTTTTGATCAGATAAATGCAGCCTTGGTGAGCATATACGACTCCTTTAAAAAAAATAAAACACTAAACATCTTACTGATCCCAACCTTTTGAACAGTTATGTTCATTAAGTCCTATTTAAGTCTAAAACTTAAGTTTATAACCCCGTTTAGTGGTACTGTGGGTATACCGCGGTATGTGAAGCACCTTCAAGTCCCCAAACAGTAGCCTACTGATGAAGAACACTAAACGATCCAACATTCATCTACAACCGTACCGTAAATAAAACTACTATGGTACATGTCCAAAAACATGGGTACTTCTGTGTATTGGTAATTGTCACAAACAATATGCTACTAATACTATACAGCGATATACCGAAATTTGTTGAAGTCTACACTGGCGAAATAAAGAAATAAATAACGGTATATATTCAGTTTTTGAATGCTTCATGTGCAGCATATTTCCTTCCCCCCTCTTGTAGGGTGTGTGACTCCAGGCGTGTGTCTGGAGGCGGCTGCGGTTATTCTGGGCTCTATAAACACTGCTATCAGATGCTGCTGAGTCCAGCGCTTTTATTACAGCTGCACGCGCCTCGCGGGACACCGACCGCTCACTGCGCATGCGCCGCGCACCGATTGATTCAGTCCGACTCCAAGAGCTAGATAAAAATAGATGTAAAATATACATTCACAAATGATTAAATATGACTATGGTATTCCTAATAAAAGCAATGCACATTAATGTTTAATGAATTTATTTCAATAAATAAAATTTATTTAATAATATGATTAATAAATAACAACCTAATATTTAAATAAACAAACAAAAAATATCTTTTTTTAAAGAAGGAAGACAATAAATTTTTTTGTGAGGTTGTGTTGTGTCAGGGGATTCAGTTTTCTATCTACAGACATGTTTACTTGGGATGGTGTGTGTGTGTGTGTGTGTGTCACCCTTCAGATGAGCTCTGACCCTCCACCTACACACCATCCTAAATATTTACAGGCCATGAACTGTGACCCGACCCACACACACACACACCTACAACACAGGCTCCATCACCTGAGACACACACACTCACACTCTCTCACACACACACACACACACACGCACACACAAACACACACGAACGTGGCCGCTGACCTCAGATAATGTGTCAATGCAACACATACACATTCCAGTCTCTCTCTCTCACACACACACACACACACACACGAACGTGGCCGCTGACCTGCAGATAATGTCTCAATGCAACACACACACATTCCAGTCTCTCTCTCTCTTACACACACACACACATAAATGAAGGACTGTTGAGAGGAAGAGAGATAAAACTAACCAGACCTGTCAGAATCTGTCAGGAATTATTAAAGTTTGCTGCTAACACACACATACACGACAAAAACATGACAGAAACCGGTTTTAAAAATCATACAATACATTTTTAATATCAGAAGCATTTGAAATAAAATATAATACCAAAACAGTGTTAATTAAAAATATTTAAAATCGCTGAAATAAAATATAAATAAAATACATTTGTGACCCTGGACCACAAAACCAGTCATAAGGGTCGATTTTGTGAAATTGAGATTTATACATCATCTGAAGCTGACTAAATAAGCTTTCCATTGATGTATGGTTTGTTAGGATTGAGAATAAAACACTAAATATATCGAAAGTCATATACACCTAGGATGCCTCGGGGGTGAGTAAAACGCAGCCTAATTTTCATTTTTATGTGAACTAACCCTTTAAAGATGGATGTGTCTGTGGGACAAGGGCTTATTCTGAGCGTCACTCGGGAACGATGGAGAAATCCAGTGACACGGGGCATCAGGAATGCAAACAGACGCCTGAGTGAGTGAGTGTGTGTTGTGTGTGTGTGTGTGTTGTAGTGTAGGTGCTAGAGGGATGTGAGAGGTTTCTCAAGCCGGGAACTCTGGGAAGGACAGCAGGAAGCAGTTCCCAGCTCTCACACACATTTCACTTCAGTCAGAGCTTTGACCGTCTCCTATAGTTTGACACTCATCTGATGAGGGTTTCTTTCCTCCAGCTCTGACAGAAAAGGTTGTGTGTTCTTATATTCTCATTAAGACGTGACTCAGTCCCATTATGAAACAGGTTTCTAGCAGAAGGTGTTGTCCGCTCCCGCAGTCCCTGAGCTTTCACTGTACTGCAGCTCAAAGCTCAGCGTCTTCAGCTGAAATGATAATAATGTATTCCCTCCTTCAGTTGCAGCGAGCGCAGGTTTCCCTCCAGGACTCCGTGAGTCATATCCTACACAGATTACACCATTATAAATAAATACATACGTACACAAATATATAAAATACTTGAATTAGTAATCATAAAAGTATTAATAAATAATGCTTGTATTCATCAAGGATGCATTACATTGATCAAAAGTGACAGTAAAGACATTTTTTAAATTGAAAAAAAGATTCCCATTTCAAATAAATGCTGTTCTTTTCAACTTTCTATTCATCTGTGAATCCTGAAAAATAAAATCAGTATCAGTTTCCACAAAAATATTCAACATCGATAATAATAATAAACGTTTCTTGAGCACCATATTTGAATGATTTCTGAAGATCATGTGACACTGAAGACTGGAGTAATGATGCTGGAAATTCAGCTTTGATCACAGAAATAAATTACATTTCACAATATATTCACATAGAAAACAGCCATTTTAAATTGTAAACATATTACAGATTTTTACTGTATTTTTGAAAAAATAAATGCAGGCTCAGTGAGCAGAAGAGACTTCATTCAAAACCTTTAAAAACCGCCCCCAAACCTCAGTTAATGTGCTGTCTATGTAGGGTGCAGACGGCGGTATGAAACAGCTGTGTGTGATAATATCAGATCCCGCCGGAGTTTGATTAGCAGGAAAACACAGAGGATGATTGAGATTGATATGAGCCTCACAGTCATTTGGACCAGAGCGTGTGTGTGTGTGTGTGTGTGTGTGTGTGTGCAG